TTTTTTTTTTTTGTCTCTGAATTAACAATTTAATTTAACAATTAAATTAATTTAATTTAATTGTCTCTGATTTAACAATCTACAGAATTCATCACTTTCCTCTTGTGTCTTCTCCCACAATCTACAATCTCCTTGTCTAGGAATAGCTGAGCTCAGTCTCTCTTCCTACAGCCCATTCTTCATATACAACTCCTCTTTACACCCTACTCTCCTTGCACTCAGATCTGCGGCTGTGTCACAGGGACCATATTTGGCTGACATCCTCAGTCAGTTGTGAATCCTTGCACATCTTCGAAAGGCAGAATCAAAGGATGATCACTATGTTTTCTAACGCCTTCCCAGTGGCTGTCATACCCCCTCCCAAACAAAACCACAAACTGGACTCAACAACCAAGGCTGTCCTTCCAGTCCCCTTATATCCTGACCTCAGAGAGTATTGTGTCTTTCAGAGAGCCTCTTGGCACTCATTTCCTATTTCCTACTCACACAATCCCATCTCCTGGGCTGGGAGAATTCTTTCAAAGCTCAGGAACAGGCCTATTGATAGAAAGATGTAAATTTCTTAATCTGAAGGATTAGAAAGCACCCATTCCACATACCATGTTCAGAAGTTTATCTTTCTGTTAGATCTCTCAAGTAAGTTTTCTTCTGATGGTGTGTCTTCTGTGGGCCAGGATTTTCCTGTGCCATATCCAACAATGCTCATGCCCACAACAGGGGAAATCCAACAATCATTCAGGCGGAGTACACAGTTTAGGAGTACATGACCTTTTCTTCAACTAAGCTCTGATACTGTTACATAATTACTCTCAACTAATAAGATGCTACCTTCCATCTAAGATTGCTTACAGCTGTTTTCAAGCTAGTATCCACTGACACTTAGAAAGCTTATTTATTTGTATCTGTTTTAATCTTTGTGTTGGAAATCTGAACAAATATTCATTTGAATTAAATATCCCAAGTGCCTTAAGGATCTACAGTTACTTCTGAACCAAAACTGTAAGCTGTAAGAGGTTGTCTTGCTTGGCAGTCATGCCTCTGTCCCACACTGATGGCCTCGAACAAAGGTCATTCCACAGAAAGAATAAGAATTGTCAAGCACAGAATTGAAATTAGTCCCTTGAAGCTCTTAGCCCACATTTAAATTCACCTAAAATTCTTATTATATGGGATAAACATAAAATTATTTATAAGCTAATGATAGATAATAAATAAACTTCTGCTCCTTTGAAGGTGGCGTTAATTCAGTATGCCAATAACCCAAGAGTTGTATTTAACTTGAACACTTACAAAACCAAAGAGGAAATGGTTGCAGCCATGTCTAAGACCTACCAGAATGGCGGGGACCTCACAAACACCTTCCAAGCAATCAAGTTTGCAAGGTAAGCTTTGATGGTATCTGGTCAAATTTTTGACAATATGGAAGTGGGAAAAAAAATTTTAAAGGAATGGAATTGAAGAGGCAAAACAAAAGTAACAAGGGCAGAAACAAGCTTGAGATTTCTGTGACATGTGTACCCTGACAAGGCACAAAGAAAATGAATCAATCACAACAGTGCTAGGACTTTCAGACATATGAGATGGTTTTACATGCTTTTTCATGAATTACATAAAATTCAAAGATCTTAGGTTAAAATACAATAAAATGGAAGACTCTCACTGTTTGTTAATCCTGGCTTCAAACAAATTAAACTGATAGGGTATTTTGTACACATTAGTGAAGGTCATGGAATATTATACACAAAAATCTGAACGTTGAAGTTATCGGGCCTGCTACCACCCACAGGGAGCGTGCCTTACAACTTCATGGCACCCACACCCTTCCTCCCTCAGTTTCTCTTTTTCAGTACATAAGCTTTACCAGACACCTTACTAAATGTTTGCTTGTCATTTTTGAAAAATGAGAACAAATGTGCCTGCCCCCCAACCTTTTCCATCTTCTGGTTTTATTCTCTCAAAAGCCATCAAAACAAGTTGTCTTCTCGCCTCTTCCTTAAAACCTGTAGCTCTTCCACTAGGCGAACATAGGCTCTGCCTCAACTAGCCTAATGTTCCTGCCTCAAGCCTCACTGTCCCTAGCTCCTCTCAGCATTTGATAAGGACAGACACACACACACTACTATGAACCCAGTCTTCATTGAGGACCATAAACTTCTGGGATCCTTACCAATATTGGGTCAACAACTCTGGCCTCTTCACTGGCTCCTTCTCTTGGTTTTTGTTCACTGAACAAAGAGGGCTCTCTTCCACAGCCGTCTCTGTTACAAATAATGTCGCTGTCCTTGATGTGAGTGTCACCCCTGTATGGGTTGCCCTTTGCTTTGTATCATCTTTTAATTCTCTCTTCAAAGTCATCAGGCAAGTTCAGCATCTTTATTGGGAGTACCATCTCACTTAGCAAATTCAGTACGTCCTAAACAGGCCCGTTCCTTTCCCACACTGCTCATGATGCGGGCGTCTTGTTCACCCGTTATCAGACAAAAGCCTCGTTGTTATCTCTCCTCTTTCCACTCTCCCTCAGATATATAAGTGGCCATCATCACATTTGCCACTTCTGTCTCTTCATTCCCTGTTTTATCTGTCCCTTCATCTTTTCTTTCTGTGTACTGAAGTTGCTGCTTTCATCAACTGGTGAGATTTTCTTTATATGTATCAAAAGAGACTGTCCATAAGAGAAGATAGGATTGGTTTCATTCTCCTGTGTCTCTAGCTCTTTGGGTTCTTGACCATCTCATCAACTGCAGGCCGTAATAATGAGTCACCTGTCATTAAATAGAGACATTTCCTGTCAGACTGAGGAAAAGAATGTTGTCAAGATAACGCCAGAAGACTCCTGTCTTTAGCAGAGAATGTGTTTGGGGCCTATGCCCAAGGAAGAAACCTGAGTTCCCAGCAAGCTTTCTTCTCAAAATAGGGCATGATCACTATCACTGCCTGTTTAGGTGTGGCTGTCTGACTTTTATAACCTTTTTAAAAACCCTGGATTTTTCCCCTACCAACGAACAAGAATCAGGACTCACCCAAATTCTAATTAACACCCAGAACACACACACTTACACACCATAAAATTATTGAAATACTGTTAAATATGAATTATATTTTATATTTTTATGAAGAAGCTACTAATAGAAGAAAGCTCTTAAATATGGCACTGGTGTTGACACAGACAGAAATTGACATGGAAAGTACAAAATATTTTGTGATTGATGCACTTAAAGATGCTAATTTCCCGTTTCTACTTCAAAGCAGGGGTCTACATCTTAGCTTCTGTTAATAATGAGTAATTTGATCTGTCACAGAGACGATGCTTATTTACCAGCTTCTGGTGGGCGCCCAGGTGCTACAAAAGTCATGGTAGTTGTGACTGATGGTGAATCCCACGATGGGACAAAGCTGAAAACTGTGATCCAGCAATGCAATGATGACAACATCCTGAGGTTCGGCATAGCAGTAAGTGGCTTCATTTGGGTTTGGATGGCTGTTGAGGGCTATGCATCCCTGTGTGCTGTCGCTTTCCAGGGCTGCAGTTCATCTTGTCTCTCTGCTTCCTGCCGCTGCTTTTCAGTCCTGCCAACTAAATGAATGGTTGCAGGCATGTCTGCAAGAAGGTTTATAATGACCAGAAACACAATGAAATGACAGACAGGAAAATTCAAGTAGGAGAGGAATGACCTTTTTGTTGTTGTTGTTGTTTTAACCCTGTGCGCTCTCTCTCTCTCTCTCTCTCTCTCTCTCTCTCTCTCTCTCTTTTTCCAGGTTCTTGGGTATTTAAACAGAAACGCTCTTGATACCAAAAATTTAATCAAAGAAATTAAAGCAATTGCTAGTACTCCAACAGAGAGGTACTTTTTCAATGTTGCTGATGAGGCAGCTCTTCTGGAGAAGGCTGGGACTCTAGGGGAGCACATTTTCAGCATTGAAGGTAAAAAGTCCTTTCTAGGATTTTTCTTTCAAATACTATTTTTTATAGAATTTGTTATTTTATATAATATATGTGCTATATGGATATTGAGTCATAGGCCACACAGAAAAACTAACTCAGGTATGTCAGCAAGAAATGGTAGACAAGGTACACGAATACATAGCTCATAAGAGAAAATGAGGGTGGTTAGCAAGCAGAATAAAAATGTGAATCCAACCACGTTTGTGTTTTGCCCGAAAGATGTCACATCAGTATTGTTTAATTTTCCATAATTATCTGAGGTGCACAGAAGCTCACACACAGTTGATAAGATGATGATACTTTTAGTTTTTGAGAGAACCATCTAGTAACATCTATCATAACAATGTTTTTTTTTCTTTTTATGTTATATAGTTTCAGAAATTCTTAAATTTGTTTATAATAACTAAATGTGTCTTTAAAATAGTGAAAATACAGTGATGGTCTCCAGCAGTTTAGTTGGGGGAAAGGCTTTCCTTATTGCAGTTCTAGTAGTGTACTTCCACAGGCTTGGAATGTCCTCAGGGCAGAATGGCCACCCACTCAGACATGCAGAAACTGGAGAACTGAAATACTCTTTATAGTTGGTTAAAAAAGAAGTAACATGAGACTCAAATCCTGGTTCTAAGTGCCTAACTTAAATAACTCTCAGCAAAAAAGCTGGTGTCTAGTTATAGAAGAAGAGGGAGGTAGAAAGACCTGGAAGGGATAGGAACTCTATCAGGAGAACAACAGAGCCAAATAAAACCTGGGCTCAGGGGGCTCTGCAGAGACCAATACTCCAACCAATGACCTTGCATGAAGAGGACCTAGATCCCTCCATTCAGAGGAAGCTCATAGGCCACTCAGATTCCAGGTAGGTTCCCTAGTAACGGGAACAGGGGCTGTCTCTGACATGAACTCAGTGGCAAGATCTTTGATCACTTCCACCTGTGGAGTGCAGCCTTGCCAGGCCACAAAGGAAGATGATGCAGCCTGATCTGATAGGCTAGGGTCAGATAGAAGGGGAGGAGGACCTCCCTTATCAGGGGACTAGGGAAAGGGCACAGGAGGAGATGAGGGAGGTGTGGATGGGACTAGGAGGAGAGGAGGGAGGGGGCTGCAGCAGGAATACAAAGAGAATAAATTTTAATAAATAAATTAATTAATTTAAAACATTTTTAAAACACTCATGTTTAATTGTGCACCTACATATCAGGTGCCTTAGAAGCTGGGTTCAAAGGTACTGCATAGGTGCTTGCTGCTGTAGTCTAACCTGGCACTGCACTAGAAATTTCTATCCCACCACAAATTTGATTATGTGAGTGGAGTGCTTTTAAGTTATTTAAATCATCACCAAAAACTAAGGCCTCTGGCAATCATTTGAAACTACTAAGGCATCTGTACCAGCATGCTTGCTTGACATCTGTGAGTAAGAATAATTACAGTGTAATTTAAGGATACGTTGAAATTATCTTGGACATTTTCTACTGTTGAAGACTTTCAAGGAGCACATTCCTCCCCCAAATTGTCTCTTTGCCATCTATGTAAATTATGATGTCTCCTACGAAAGAGTACACCTCACAGCGGTGCATTTTGTTATTTTATTAAAGTTGTCTATGCAGGAATTTGGCTTGCTTCTGATGAACATTATTGAAACATTATTGAAACCAATAGAGTTCTGCAGCATTAGACAGTGACAGATACTTAAGTACAGTTAAAAACAAACTTCCCAGCCAGGAAACTCTTTAGTCTTGAGTCCTGGTTTCCAACAGAACACGAATTCCCTCCGTCCAGTCTATGATGTGGAGAAATCACCTACTGATCTAATGCAGCTGAAGTATTTGTACATAAGGAACACCAATATTAAAAACAAAACCCAAATGGATTTTTAGCTAGTCATGGTAAATTCAAAAGAATATCCTGATCTCAATTTCCACATTAAGTAATACTCTTCCTTCGCTGGGACTTATGCGACATCAGGAATAGCATAAATAGTTCATTAAATTAATTGATGCATAATTAATTAAGGCCAACTTTGAACACTGCTCTGGAAACTTTCTTCCTGATTTCCTCTTCCTAGAATCCTCCAAGTTCTAGTTATACACTGACACAAAAAAAGCGTGTGTGTATGTGTGTGTGTTGCATGTGTGTGTATACTACTTTTGTGCCCAGTTGCCCTTGGAGACTGGAAGAGGATGTTGGGTGCTGGGAATTGAACCTAAGTTCACCGCATGTGTGAATGCACATGCATGTATGTGTGTGTCCGTGTTTGAATGTTTGGTTGAAAATCGCTGGCAATAACAGAATTTTTGAAAATGATACTTTCCAGGCACTGTTCAAGGAGGAGACAGCTTCCAGATGGAAATGGCGCAAGTTGGATTCAGCGCAGATTACTCGCCTCAAAATGTATGTATATCAGATATGTTTAAGCCATACTGTCACTTGCCAGAACACACACATGCACAATAGCTTAGACACATGGTAGGAAAAACAGCCATGATTCAGCAATGATTCAAATTCCTGGGCCCAGTGGCAAAGACAATATACTAATCCAGTCATCACCCTTACAAAAATGTCATGACAATCAATTACCTACCTGAACCATCTGTCAAAGAAGCTGCCGTTTTTATCCCTGACACAGCTGAAGTCTACATTGCCATAGTATTGTTCCCAAAGGACAGAGACTGTAAGTTGTTGAAAATGGAGGATTTGTGAAATCTGGGAAGGGGCTGGAGTCCACAGTCTTCTAGCTTAGGGAGTCTGTTCATCTGGTGTTCTCAGAAACAACCTCTAGGTCTGGACCCTAACTCTGCAAGGACATAGAAGGATGAAAGACACAACAATAACAGATTCTGGGAAATCTTTAGGAATTGATTTGAAATCAGATGGTCTAATAAACAGATTAAAGGATCAAGAATAGCTCATCCTCTGTCTAGAGCAGTGGTTCTCAACCTTCTTAAGGCTGTGACCCTTTAACACAGTTCCTCGTGATGTGCTAACCCCAACAAGAAAATTATTTTTGTTGCTATTTCAGATATGTAATTTGGCTACTGCTATGAATCGTAATGTAAATATCTGATATTCGGAATAGCGGATAAGCAATTCCTGTGAAAGAGTCATTCAACCCCCAAGGGGGTCAAGGCACAAAGGTTGAGAACCAGTGGTCTGGAATAAAGGATGCTAACTTTACCTGTTCAATGACCCTTAGAGATGTTGACAAGTTAGAAAGCTTTCCCATGGCAAAACGTGAATAAACACAATATTATAGACATATTTTCACACAATTACATGAAGAGACTCTATTTCTTGGAACCCATTCATCCCCCCTAGCTTAGAGTCTGTGCTTACATCATGCTTATTCTCAAAAAAAATTTTTTTCTGCAGAATGGGACATGTTTTTCCCATTTGTTATTTTTAAAATTTATTTATTTTTTTATTAATTACAGTTTATTCACTTTGTATCCTAGCTGTAGTCCCCTGCCTTGTCCCCTCCCAATCACACCTTCCCTCCCTCTTCTGCTTCTCCTATGCCCCTCCCCCAGTCCACTGATAGGGGGTCCTCCTTCCCTTCCATCTGACACTAGTCTATCAGGTCTCATCAGGACTGGCTGCATTGTCTTCCTCTGTGATCTGGTAAAGTGCTCCCCCCTCAGGGGGAAGGGATCAAAGAGCCAAGCACTGAGTTCATGTCAGAGACAGTCCCTGTTCCCCTTACTACTGAACCCTCTTGGACACTGAGCTGCCATGTACACATCTGTGCAGGGGTTATAGATTAACTCCATCCATGGTCCTTGGTTGGAGTATCACTCTCAGAAAAGACCCCTGGGCCCAGATTTTTTGGTTCTGTTTTTCTCCTTGTGGAGCTCCTGTCTCCTCCAGGTCTTTCTATCTCCCCCTTCTTTTCTAAGATTCCCTCCATTCTGCCCAGTTTGGCTATGGGCCTCAGCATCTCCTTTGTTACCCTGCTGGGTAGAGTCTTTCAGAGGCCCTCTGTAGTAGGCTCCTACCCTGTTTTTTTGTTTTGTTTTGTTTTGTTTGTTTTTTATGTTAGATGTTATTTATTTCTTTTTTATTAAATTTTTATTTTTTATATTAATTACACTTTATTCACTTTGTATCCCCCCTGTGGTTCCCTCTCTCCTCCCCTCCCATCCCTTCCTTCCTCCCCCCTCTGCACGAATGCTCCTCCCCAAGTCCACTGATAGGGGAGGTCTTCTTTTCCTTCCATCTGACCCTAGCTTATCAGGTCTCACCAGGACTGGCTGCAATGTCCTCTTCTGTGGCCTAGATAGGCTGCTCCTCCCACGGGGAGAGGGGGAGGAAGGTCAAAGAGCCAGCCACTGAGTTCATGGTGGATCAATGGAACTGAATAGAAGACCCAGAAATAAACCCACACACTTACAGATACTTGATTTTTTTTTTTTTACAAAGAAGCCAAAACAATAAAATGAAAAAAAAAAAAAAAAAGAAAAAAGATAATTATCCAAGAAATGGTGCTGGTCCAACTGCATGTCCACATGCAGAAAAATGAAAATAGATCCATATTTATCACCCTGCACAAAACTAAAGTCCAAGTGGATCAAAGACCTCAACATAAACCCAGACACACTATATCTGTTAGAAGAAAAAGTGGGGAAGAGCCTTGAACTCATTGGCAGAGGAGACAACTTCCTGAACAGAACACCAACAGCACAGGCTCTAAGATCAACAATCAAGAAATGGGACCTCCTTTTAAATTGATTATTATTAAAGCTTATCACTTTGGTAATAGAGAAAGTAATGGGATTCAAGTCTGTAATGAACTCATAGGTTGGATCAGTTCATTACAGCCCTTAGCTCAGTCAACATCTTCCAATTTCTAGATTTCTTTTTAATGATAAATACAGGAGAATTCCAAGGACTTTAGAATGTTCTGTATGTTGAGTTTCTAGATGCTCTTGTACCAGCTGCTCAAGTGCATGTAATTTTCCTTCAAGCGCCATTGCTCTACCCACACAGGCTTGTCAGTTAAGCCTTTTAAAGGTAGTGCTGTGTGTGTGTGTGTGTGTGTGTGTGTGTGTGTGTGTGTGTGTGTGT